AATTCAATTCAACAAATTCTTTTCGTGCAACTCCACAAAATTGATCTAGTATTCAAAATATTCCCACCCACTATGCCTGTCGATTTTATACATGATTACATCTTCTCGGGTTTTTACTTACTATGTTTAACAGTAATCCAATGGATATGTCTAAACCTGATCTGAGGAGCAAGAACTGAATGACTGACTAATAAAATATGACTAACAAAAAAAATGACTGCAGGCTGCTATACAAGTGGGGTGGGCACACCCAGCTTTTCACGCATGTCAAGTGACTGCCCTCACCCCCCCCCCCCTAGATTGGCTACACTCCCCCTGGCTCACGAATTCCCCGATTCTCGTGACAGTATAGTAGCGAGCAGCAGTCCCACTGACATACATTTCTGTTCAAAAAATGCGGCGTGCCCACCCTACTTGTATAGCACCTGACTGCATCCAGGAAAAGTGAAAAAATGATGAAAAAAATCACTTAAAACGGTGGTTGCTTTTCGGCCATGTGGTGCGCTATGTGCCCACGCGAACCGCCATTGGTTCAATTTCTCTCGCGATCAGAGAGGGTGAAGCCCTTCAAAGTATTTGAGCATGTATTTACTAGTTTTACAAGTTTTTTTGGTGAATTCATGATGTAGCTCTTATCAATGAGGATGAGTCTTTTTTCTAAAAATCGATGGCGTATTTGTTCCGAGTTTCTCTGACAGTCGTGATTTTCTGACATGGGTTGAAATCGGGTTTCTGAATTCTGAATAATTTCTGAACCTAAAATTTTCTATACTGTCTTTTTTCAGCTAGCCTCATTTTCTCCCAGAACTTTTCTATGTCTTCTATTCCCCTTCTCTTTCATGGCCACTTCAGTGACCTTGGGTAGGTAAGTTCTCGTGACGTGTAAATTAGACCACATACCTTGGGGAAGCATTTGGAAAGTGCCTTTGACCCTACTATCCCCTCCTGTTTTGCTCATACAACTATCTCTTTAGGTTCAAGTTCGGCAATCGACTTTCTACCGTTCAAATTAATGCGGACGTGAGCGCCCGCACTGCCCTTCTCACCTTGAAAATCTCCCTTTTAAACTTTTTTAGACATTATTTGTTCTTCGGAGGCGCGTGAGTAATCGATGAACTGGTATGTACTTTACGTTCTCTCCCCAACGCGACGATTTTATTTCGAAATTTCTCCCCTTACTATTTAATTTTGTGCCTTGAGTTCCCTAATAACAGCAGCATATGATTGCTATTCCTTATTTGTGATATTCTTACTTCATTGTAAACAATAGCCAAATAAATAGTAAACAAATAATGTGGTTGATTTTTGTGGTAGCTGTTTGGCATTTTCCTCTTTCTGCTGTTTTATTAAACTCACCAACAGATTCACTCTTGGCTGATTGACATGCTTTAAAAATTTTGGGCCGTCTCAGCCAGTAAGGGGTGGGGGCATGTGTGTGACAGTTCTTGTCGGCTACAGAAATTCCAACTTTTGCAAGGGGAGGGAATCCCCGGGGTGCGTGAACCATTTCGCTCAAACTTTTACACCCACCTCGGAGCTTCCCTCCCTAGAAAGGAGTGGACAGTATGAACTGTCGCACCACATGCCCCCCTTGCTGGATGAGACCTAATTTGGGTATGAGGTTATTGTAAGAAGTTCACTGTCCATCTCCATTTTGTCGTTTATTTTTTTTCTCACCTCGAATCCAAATGAAGCCCTAATGCATGGTCTCAGAAAAAAGATCAGAATAGCTCCGCGCTTTTCCTTTTTTCGCTGATTCACTAGTCGTTCTCGATCTTTACATAGCATGGCCATTCTATAAGAGTACTTTATACTTTTCGAAGAATTGTAAAATAAGCGGGAGAAATCCAGCGCTATATCGAGTAGTAGGGAGGAGACCTGGATGAAGTGGCGGGAGGCTTTGTCGCTACTCTCAAGTAGGTCCACGACAGACGTTCTTCATACCATAGATGTTTTGAAAATCTATACTCTCTGTTCGATTCGCACTAAGAAAGGTTACTAATTCCTGAGCTGATTTCTCGCAAAATGTGGGATAACCGTGGGCGGCACCAGAGCCCCCATAATTGTGGTGTTTCAAATCTAAATTTTGTGGTATTTTCGAGTGACACCCTCACACTACCACTCTTTTGTTGCTTCTCATATCACCAGCGGGCGTTAGGGATTTTTTCCCTACAGCTTTTTTCGGATTGCTGAGATCTCTAATTTCTATAAACACTAACTATTTCCTTATTGACGTTTTCTAAAATTTTTGCTGTGTTCCAAAATTTTTGAACCTTGACGAGTTGTTTATTTATGCGCAATGCTGCATTCCTCATAGGCGGCCTGGCCTAAATCTTTATAGTCGGAAAATATCGTCGCATTGTGTTCTTCGGCAGAGGTGCATTCCATGACACCGTTTCATAAGTAGTTGGTCGGAAATCCATGCGCAGGCTGTGAAGTCGTCTTCTCTACGATTGCACCAGTCATCACTTTTTGCCACGGGTCATAATCTTTGCTTCATAGCTTTTTTCATTCTTGCAGCAGTCTCTTCCGATCACCCATTGATTTGAACCTTGAAGTTCCTCTCGCGAAGGAGGTTGTTGGGATCGCAACTGCAAAGCTTTGGTCACTTTCGCAACTCCAAATGCACTAAAATTGCATTAGTGCTTAGCATGCAAGCATGAACAGTTCAAGCAATCACCGTTGTGGTACCTGCTGTCTCAGGCTCAGCTTTGCTCTCTCGTGTTCGTCTGTCCTTCTGTCGCCATCCCACTATCTCTTACTCTATCTTTCATACCCTCTTCAGACGGAAAATAAGGCCTTTATTTAGGGCGTTTCCACTTTTTTCTTTTCCTTTATCTTCACTGGCAGGTTAATAGCCGTAGCTATTTGACATGACAATTCCAAAATCATCTCTTTTTGCCAACGTGCATTGTTCCTTCACCCTCTGCTCGTCTTCCCCCTTCATCAGTCCTCTCAGGCATCGTCTCGACTAGCGAATCTCTTGTTTCGCAAAGCCTGACATCGGCCTTATGCTCACATGATGACGCGTAAGGTAGCGCTGTCGGTCTCCGTAGTACACCATACTGTCGTCGCTTACTCCCATCTCATATAGCACAATCGCGCTGGTGTTGTTCCCTGTCTTATGTTGCTTCTCACGTCTTAGAGGGTCCCGTCTCAAGTTTTCTTGCAAATTTCTACCTTTTTTCTGCCGCTAGCGTACTATTTCGGCCCTCTCTCCCCCGTTCCTTTCAAACCCCTCTAGAAGCTACCATTGCTTACTATTATTTCTTCCATTCTATCTTTTTTCCCCTAGTCTTCCTTGTTTTAGTTATAACGCCTCCTTAAAGGAAAGCGATTACGATAAAAGAGGGAGCGCATCGGGGAAGCATGTGCACCACATGAAGCAGTTACTTGGCCAAGGGAGCGAGGTGTGGCGCTTCCACAACGAAGGGTGCGCTGGTTGCTGAGCTGTACTTGGAAAGCGCTCCGCCTCAAAAGCGTGCAGCGAACTCGTCCATACGTTAGCTGTCCTGGCCGCTGCCCGTCTGTGAGCGACTATCAACGACCACATTAAGTTCCGTTCTGCGTTTTCTTGCGGATTTCTCTTCTTTTTTCGCCACTAACGTACCATTTGGCCTCCCCGTCCAAACCAATCTAGAACCTATCGTAATCGCTACCTTAAGAGTCTTCTTATTCTGACTCGCTGATGAAGGATTTTCTAGGCGTAAAACATTTAGGCGAATGGCCCATTCTTTAGTATTCCTTTATTTTTTTATAATTTGTTCACAGCACTTGAAGAGTTCTTTCCAACGTTATGAAGAGCTCTTTATCCATTGGTGCCAGGGAGCAGATTGATGGCATCCTTACTCAAGAAAGGCAAATCCTCTATTAGTTTGGGTCATAGGTAATGACAAATTTTTCGAACCCTTGTCAAATTTGCCACCACATGTTTGTGCTATTCTCTTGTAGCTTTTATGTGATCATATTCATAATCAAAGGGGCGTCTATGCCACCCCCCAAACCAGTGCCTGGAACCACCATTCCCGGAAGCATCTTTCACCCCAACGTTTAATTATTACTCTAATTGACGGGTTCCCCTTTCACTGACCGTTTTCTTCGGTGTTCGCTTCATTCAATACCACTTCCATCAATTTCAATTCCGCTCACTTTTCAGGGATTGGACTTCTTCTGATTTGGAACCAGTTGAATGAAATTTTATTGATCAGACGAGGAACCTTACGAGGACGAAGAATACGGAGAAGGTTGGTATCAGTGTGATTTTGTGCAGGTAGCTTGCTTTATATAGGAACTTATCTTTCCAGCTCCGGAGGAACCTCAGGATGGCGGAGACGGCTACTATCAAGAAGGTGATTACTATCAAGAGGAAGCTCAGGATGGTGGAGGTTGCTTCATTATATGTTCAACTCAGCTTTCCCATCGCCACGTCCCGCAACACGATAACGGCAGATGACGTTACGCTTCTGCCTTCTCGTTCATTACTGACCCACCCAGTCAGGTTGAACAGTAGCGTATGATCGCTACTGTTCAACTCCTGTACTTGGGGTAGTTACAGTAATTACAAGTTCAAAACTCCTGAGCGGCATAAAGACGCTACTGTTCAACTCGTGCAATTGATTGGCCACTCTCATCGGTTGTGGCTGAAACCGCTCTCTACATTTTGCCACCAGGACGTCTACCAGTTGCCTCCGCTTCCCAGCCATTATGTTCACTGCCTCCGAATGCTCATTAGATTATAAGGATTTTTCAAGAAAACAGCCTGCCTGACAACCAGTCCCCTTCTCCTTTTCCTTATGTGGACGTACTCTAGACCTCTTCTGCCGCAATTGAATCCTGGGGATCCTTCTCGCTATGTCTGAGTTTCAAGACATTTCCAATTTTGAAAGAAATATTTTCGAAAACTATATTTCAAAATGTTTTTGCCCGCTCCTGACTTTATCAAAGTCTTTTTTGAACATCCTCACCTTGCTGAACCTGTGTTTCGTCAGCTATCGTAGAAAATGCTCCGCTTTGTGAGAAATCTGGATCTGGGTGAGGGAAATACGAAAATAAAGTTTTTTAAAGATGCCAATTGGCCTTCTTTCAATGTGAGCCCTTGTTTTTGTCGCTGAAGAAGAACGCTGCACAATCCAACCTATAGCTGGGCCGGTGACGCTTGAGACGCAAGCAGTAGCGCTAACCGTGTGCAGCGTGGTTCACGAAGCAAAACAAAACTGTTTTAAAGAGTTACGGGCTGCTCCGAAACCCGGGTAGGCCTTTGCGCAGATACTGAATGCTGTATTATTCAAATGATAAACTGTAGAAACCTTCATGGTTAATTTGATCAGAGTTCAACGTAGTCAGAACAAGGATAATTTTTTCCACACAAAGAATGACCAATTTCAAATATTTTCTGTCACCTCACCCATCTTCCCGATGCTCATTGAAATCTTCGAGCAGGCTCTATCCCTCCATTTTGTGCACCAGAATACTCCAGTACCTTCTCCTTTTGCCAGGACACGTAGTATCCTTAATCTTTTGTGTAAAGCTTCAAATCTTATTTTTAATTATTTCATGCAATTTTTGGGTGCATGGAGTTCTGAACAAAGAAGCAAATAGTGCAGGGCTGAAGTTCAAAAGAGTTCCTATTAAACCATTCAATGTGAGGCGTGTTTTGTGACCTTAGAATTTTTTCGAATATACTTCTGGTTTATCCTTGTATAGCACAATAGAACAGGTAGAACAAAATAAGCATAGGGTTTTATAAAGCATGTTTTCAGCGGAAGAATATAATTATGATGGTGACTACGAAGAAGGCTATAGAGAGGCCGAGGAAGAACCTGAGCCAGAGCCAGAGCCAGAAGAGGAGGAAGATGTGGAACCTGAACCTGAGCCAGAGGAAGCACCTGAGAACAATGAGGTGGTTGAACCGGAAAAGGAAGCTGACGACGACGATGACTATGGAGTGGTCAGTTGCTTTGAACATTTGTTACGCTTATAAAGATTGCCCAGTTGAGGATATGGAACTTTCTTCGTTGGTAAACACGGCCATTCCCCTTTCTAAGAATTAGCTCTAAGGAAAGTTTCCACCTGTCTAGATGGAGCATTAGCATCGTTCTGTTGGACTGTCATCGATGAACGTGTCGCGGCCAAACTAACTGAGCTCAGGCCTGAGCAGAGATAGCTGTCGCGTTCGCCTTTTACAAAAATTAAGCGACGCTCCCTCCCCCCCCCATCCCCTCCACTTGATTCTAAGACCAGTCAACAAACCTAACTCCGCCCAATTTTGCCCTCTGCGTTCGAGCGGAGGGAGGAGGAAAATTGATAAAATGAAGCGACAAATCCAATAATTTTGTCTAGGTTACCCTACTTTTGTAAGAATTTTCGCCAAATTCGTCGAATGGACCCGTCATTACACCCTTTTTCTATGACCTGGCTCACCCACATAATCCGACCCCCCTGCCCTTTCCCAAAATCACAAATGCGATCCTCTCGTTCGAATAGTGCAAACCGACGGTTGAAACTGACGCTTTTTTAATACTAACAAATCGTTGTTCAGGAAGAACAGGCGGTGAGTCATGAGACAAATGCCGAGGATCCGAATGCAGTAGGAGATGGTGGCGGTGGCGGTGGTGGACTCGGGAGTCTAGTGAAAGGTGCGAAAAATGTTCTCACTAGATTTTCATGTAAAATCCTAACTTTGGACAAGAGTTATGTAAAGTTGTCTATGTGCGAGTTTTAACTCTGTAGTCCCTATTTGGACAATAGTGGAAATTGATTTTATGGGCAGATGTCAATGATCTGGTTCGGTCGGTGCGTATGAATCCACTCTGCCTGATAACTATATATACAGGGGGGGGGGGGCAATAAAAAAAGACATTTTGTCTCCAGACTCAAATGGATTTAATCACACTTTGCTCAGCTCAAAGCGTGTGCTCCCAACTTAGAATTGAAGAGCGCATTTCATTTCATAAGAAAATCTTCATAGTGGCCATCTACGTGGACGGCATCAGAAAAGTTTGCCCCGGAAACATGGTGCTCTGGTCGAGCTCAATGGGGTTCTCGACTGATCGTGTACCGTTACGACGGGTTCCGAAGGGCGGGTTCCGAGGGGGTTTGCATAGTTAGAGCTAATGTCCCTAGGAAACTATCCCACGTTGAATCGATCCAAGAAATTATGTAAGAGCTTCAGGCTGAAGCAGTTACTGTAGGCCTCCCTGAGCTCGACGACGGTGACAGATGACGTCATATTCTGAAGACGGTGAGGGTAGTGAAGGAGGGCCTGCGTTACTTATAGAGGGACATTTAGGGAATATTCTGCTGAGGAACTTCCGTCAGCGACGCAATCTTATA